GAGAGAGAGAGAGAGGGGAGAGAGAGAGACCAGAAATCATTAAGCCCGTAAAATATACATAGTAAACTAATCATCAGATCATTACTATGTATTTATGTTAAAAAAGTTTGAAAAATACTGGGTATTATTATATTATACTATAGTCGTTTTTTGCTAATACTAAATTACATATTTTTATGTTCTTAGGATTTTTAAATGAACTGTTTTTCTTCTACTTTCGAATTCAAATATACAACTTATTTTATATTACAATTTAAACTAAAATATCCTCTTTTTTGTCCTATTTTCAGTCTTAATATTCTACTTTTGTATTACTTTTCAATCGATCAAGAATGTCCTAGCTTAGATCTGATCACTAGGGTTAGATCTGATCACATTACTTTTATGTATCACACAAGTGTTAAATCTCAACTGTTATTCTGCTCCTTCTTCTAAGGAAGAATTCACACCTTGGCAGAAAAGTAGACAGCAGAAAAGCAGAAACCAATGGCTGCGTTCAGTAGAGAAAACCAATCAGTTAGCGCTTAGTGATTCTTTAATATGATTGGTCTTGTCTTTAGTTCTTCGCTGGATCTAAGTGCAGGGACTAATTTTATTAAAAAATCACTAAGCGCTAACTGATTGGTTTTCGGCTGATGAACGCAGCCAATAGAAACTCGCGCTGGTAAGTAGTACACTCCATTTTTCTACCAGCGCGATTTCTGATTGGCTTCTATCAAAGTATGAATTCTCCCTAATAAATTTAGTACAGCTTTCAATAGGAAGAAAGTGTAGCTCTCATATAAAATCTTACTGGTAATGCATGGGGCGAACTGCAGAAGTCAATAATGATAATGTATTTAAACTGCCACATATATCTTGGACTTTTATCAGTTTATGAGCTATTAGTATAACTTTATTATTCTTCTGTTTCAACATTCCAAAAATTTTTAAAATATTAAATTTTTCCTGCAAAAATATAATATGAGAATTATAAACCAAGCAGAATATTAAAATATTCTATATACGAGGGTGAATCAAATATAAACCGGAATTATTTTTGTACGCGCCGTGAGGTGAACGGAGAAGGGTGCGGCTTCTAAGCGTTATAGGTAGGGATGCCTGAAGGAGATTCCTCCCTTAGGAGACTTCACACTATCGCTCCTTTAGTCAGTATCACGATGTCAGAGCAAGAGGTACTCTCATCCGTTGCGCAACGGATTATTATCAAGTTTTTTACGACAGAGAGCGTAAAACCGTCCGAAATTTTGAGAATGCTTAAGTCATAGTTCGGGCATAACACTCTTAAAGAGACTCAAGTGTACGCATGGCACAAACAATTTTTAGAAGGACGAGAAGCAATTGAAAATTAAGGTCGCCGACGGTCGGCTTTCAGTTGGAAAGGTTCTTGCAACTGTATTTTTTTATTTCGAAGGAGTTTGCGCATCGGTTTTCTCCACAAACGTTGTACTGTGAACGCCGCATACTACTGCTAACTTTTGAACGAAACAAAACTCGCATATTGTCGGAGAAGATGCGAATTTCCATTACGAAACGTTATTCTGCTGCACGACAATGCTCGGATCTATACAGCTGCCTAAACTCGACAAAAAATTAAGGATTTGTTCTGGACTACACTGGAACACCCTCCCTACAGTCCGCCCTGCGATTATCATTTATTTGGACCACTAAAAGAAGCACATGGAGGACAAAGATTTGATGACGATGTTGCTATTGAAACGTTCGTGCGCGATTAGCTGGTGTCACAACCATCTTCATTTTTAAATAGCTATGTATGTTTGTATTTTTATGGTGCTTCAATAAATTTAAAAAAAATAAATCCGATTTATATTTGATTCACCCTCGTATCGTTATGCAAAAACTTGTATTCAACTTATTGATAATTCAACTTATTGATAATTCAACTTATTGAAGTTCCTGAGCAGTCATCATAACCATATTGAATCATAGCTCAAAGAATAATTATAAATTCGACGCCATTCGCAACAAAATGTCTAGCGACGACCATTGCCGCTTATTATAAACAACGAGTGCCTAGCGACGGCGAACGCGTGCAACGCGCCTCGCTGGGCGGTCTTATCCAGCCGCGCGCTTGCATTTGGCGATGAGCCGGGCGAAAATTTGCATATTTTTATCAATTAATATCTCGTTAATTATTGCAAAAATTGTAAAATGGTAGAGGACTTTTCTTCTCAGTTTAGTCCATTCTACCCCTCTGCGAGAAAATTTTTCATTAATTATCAAACACCCTGTATAATATTAAAAGCTCAGTAGCGCGCGCTTGTTATGTCTAGTTATAATAAAATTGATAATATAAAATTGACAACGGCCAATAACAATCAGAAAACCTCCCGCCTGCTAAGAGGCGCGCGACTTCCACGCGAAGCGACTCCAACCCACCTCCTCCCTGTTTAGGCTTTCCACGCGAGACGCGCGAAAAAATTTGAAAAAAATTGTTTTTTAAATATTGGACCTTGAAAATGACTTTGTCGGCAATTTTCATTATCATATTCATAATCAAGGCATCAAAATACAGTAGTATGTCAATCGACAAGAAAATTGGGTGGATTCACCTTTTCGGAAGTCTATCCAAAGATTTCATCCTATGATCATCATGTGATGTTATAGTTATCGAATTTTAAAGAATTGAATAATAGAAATAGAAGAAAAAGAATGTATCATCATGACTTTTCAAAATACATAATTTTAAATACTGCTTCGGAACAATCCGTTACGTGGTTTACATGTTTCAATTACATGATTTCATCATGCAACTGTGTGACGTGATTTTTTCAGTAAGGTCCCTTCCGCACGTCCCACTTCTCTGAATCTATAATTATAATTGTCGAGTCAATAAACAAGTTCGCATAGAAGACAAGTTTCCATAGAATGACTGGACGAAATACCCCGTATCCGTCTCGCAATAGGCCCCGAGGCCCTTCAAATCATCGCGACGATCCCCGTGGATTATCTCTGACGTTCTAGTCGACAATTGGAGAGTAACCCGCGTCCCGTACAGATATAACGTTATATACAAAAATGATGGTCAACGCGCTATTCGCTTTTCTTTCAATCCACTCCTCCCCTCTCCCATAAGTACGAAGTGACGAAAAGGCCCGAATTGCTGGGATTAATCATAAATTTCCTTATCCAAAGAATATAATTTACTCGAATTAGTTATTACTGTCGATCTTAAAAGCACAAATGCTAAAAATCAAGTCAAACACTCTACATTCCGATTAATTAATTATACTCAGATAACATTACCTAAATTCTAAACGATATCAAATCTCAATATTAAAGGTACAAATGACTAATATAAATTCGCAGTATTTTGACTTAATTAAGTAACGAAATATATTCTAATAAAGAGCTTTAGAAATCCTATAACATGCGATACGTCGGCGCTAGCAATCTCACGACTTGCCGCCGCTCTGATCGTACCTCCCCCGCTCCAATAAACAATCTGACACTCTTCCAATCATCAAACCACGCACACGCGTCGCGCCGCATCGTTTATCTTTCGAGTCCCTACCTAGCGACGTCGTGGTCGTAACAGTCTTAATATACGGAATTGTAAAAATTTTTTTATTAATAACTGACTCGATCCTGTTTTGTTATATTATTTTTTTTACAATGGTACTTAATTCTGGTATCGTAGAAAAAATAAATGGTAATGGGTATTCATTATTAAGTAAAATATTTACCTGCTCTAAATTATTTTTAAGGAACCGAGGATGCGATAAATGCATGAGTCTATCATACCAAATCATTTTTTTTTCATAAATAATATCTTTTATCATTTAATAATTAATTTTACATTTGTGATAATAAAATTAGTAATAAAATTAACGACGGCCAATAGTAATCAGAAAATATGTTCGCTATCGATATATATTGCTTGCCGATAACCAACAAGGTCTGTAGTTTAGAGACTTTTGGTAATCAAAATAAAATTCTGGTCATCAATAATGATTATTCGTAATCGAAGCAATTTCCGATAATTGTAATGGTTATTCGCAACCAAAAACAATTCAGTCTTCAATTCGAAATGGCTGAATTAAATTGATTTATCGAAATGTAAGCGTTATGAACTGCATCCGTAATAATAAAATTGTTTAATTTATTTACATTTATTTTTCCTTTCCACTACTTAATATTTTTCCCCTTTCATTTTGTTTCCTTAACATTATTCTCCTTTTCTTTACTGTGTCATTGTTCGCTTTACCTTCTGTAAATCTGTTGATTTATGTTGTGACAATTTGAGAACATATCTAATTGTAAGAAAAAAAATGTTTACCTTCGCACGTTTGAATCTTATTATTTTTTGACAACTTGAGAACATAATTTAATGGCATATACAGGGTGGGGCATTTTGATCGTCCCAGGCAAATATCTAGAAACTAAAAGAGATACAAGAAAAAATTTTATATGAAAGTTATAGGTTTTCTTAGGGGAAAGAAGGTAGATATAACGCGTCTTGGATAGGGGGCACTACCAAGGTCAGGTTAAGGTCAATATGAATTTTTTAAATGGAAACCCCAATTTTTTTATTGCATATTCTTGTAGCATCTCGAGAGCTTTCCAAAACGCTATAATAAAATATTTTTTCATGAAATACTTTGCGAGTTATAAGTCTTGAATATTATAATTTCGCCAACAAAACATTACCCAAGGTGTCCGACCGACGGCTAAAACCTTTTGTTGTTCAGAATCACGACCTGAATAACATTTGTCAAGATCAAGATCGTTGGAAGTTGTTCCTCTGATTTTTTGCACTAAAAATTCATTTCTACGTAAAAATGAAAATAAGAAGTACAATCACCAATGGCCTTGATCTTGACAAATGTTATCCAGGACATAATCCTGAACAACATTCAAGATGTTTTAGCCGTCGGTCGGACACCTTGGGTAATGCTAATGCCAGCGGTACTGTAGCAAACCTTATAACTCGAAAAGTGCTTCATGAAAAAATATTTTATTATAGCGTTTTTTTGGAAAGCTCTCGAGGTGTGCTACAATAATATGCAATAAAAAATTAGGGGTTCCATTTAAAAAATTCATGTTGAGCCTGACCTGATCTTGGTAGTGCCCCCTATCCAAAATCCGTTACTTCCACCTTCTTTCCCCTAAGAAAACTTACAACTTTCATAT